TAAATATAAAATATAAATATAAAATATAAATATAAAATATAAATATAAAATATAAATATAAAATATAAATATAAAATATAAATATAAAATATAAATATAAAATATAAATATAAAATATATATATAAAATATAAATATAAAATATAAATATAAAATATAAATATAAAATATAAATATAAAATATAAATATAAAATATAAATATAAAATATAAATATAAAATATAAATATAAAATATAAATATAAAATATAAATATAAAATATAAATATAAAATATAAATATAAAATATAAATATAAAATATAAATATAAAATATAAATATAAAATATAAATATAAAATATAAATATAAAATATAAATATAAAATATAAATATAAAATATAAATATAAAATATAAATATAAAATATAAATATAAAATATAAATATAAAATATAAATATAAAATATAAATATAAAATATAAATATAAAATATAAATATAAAATATAAATATAAAATATAAATATAAAATATAAATATAAAATATAAATATAAAATATAAATATAAAATATAAATATAAAATATAAATATAAAATATAAATATAAAATATAAATATAAAATATAAATATAAAATATAAATATAAAATATAAATATAAAATATAAATATAAAATATAAATATAAAATATAAATATAAAATATAAATATAAAATATAAATATAAAATATAAATATAAAATATAAATATAAAATATAAATATAAAATATAAATATAAAATATAAATATAAAATATAAATATAAAATATAAATATAAAATATAAATATAAAATATAAATATAAATATAAAATATAAATATAAATGTAAATATAAACAATTTTTATAAAAAAAAAAAAATAATTTTATTTGGATTCCTGAGGAACATCAGAAGTTATAATGTGCTTTTCTGTTTCGTTTGTTTTATATATATTGTGTAATGTTCTCTGATTTACAGGTACCGTAGAACGGGGTGACTTTGATAGGCGGGGTGGCTTTGATAATTTCGTCTGTTAGTTACAAAAATAATGATTTGAATGTGAAATTGCACAATTAGAGACTATTTTTTTTTTATTCTTGTACATAATTATATTTTGCTAATATTTTTGAAATTTTAATGATTGTGAAGTGATTCTAAATTGTGCAAATGTGTTAGGAATAACATGACTATAACAAAAAAATAACAATTTTTACACGTACCAAAAAATGCCAAAAAATCTTGTGATTTTAATTTTTTTGAAATTTTTTTTTTCTAAAAATCTATACTTTAGATGTTCAAGTGGTATTTTCCAGTTATAATACCACTGGAATATACCACTCGTTTTTGGTTACTCTCAATCACATTTGCAGAAAAATCAAAACAATTTTGTTTTTCAGTTTTTCAAATGATTTTTAGTATTATATATTTCAGTCCTATTGTAATTTTTTAATGTTTCAAACGATTATTTCTAGTTAAAAAAAACGTTAAAACAAAAAATATCACAAGGAGAATTGCAAGGATTATGAGAACTTATAAACGTAAACCAGGTAATCGATCCTATGCATCTTACACAGCAGAAGACTTGCAAGATGCCTTGGTAAATATCTCAACTAACAGAATATTGATTTTCAAGGCATCTAAGATATATGCTATACCATATAGTACTCTGTACAACAAGAGTAAGCTAAGCCATATGAAAAACCCTGGAGGACAGACTAGATTACAGCCCCATACAGAAGAAAAGATTTTACAAATTATTAGCATTCTGACAGATTGGAAGTTACCTTTAGATAAGTTAGATATACGTCTGCTAGTAAAAAACTATTTAGACAGAATGGATTTTAGACAGAATTTTATAACTGCTAATTACTATAACAATGTTATTGATATATTATTTTTCTGTGTTTAGCATATTAACATATATAATCAATAAGCCATTAAGAAATAATAGACTATCAAAGTCACCCCAAACGACGGGGTGAGATTGATAACATTTTGGATTAAAAATATATATATTAAGACAAAAAAAAAAAATAAAAATATATAATGGAATTATATAAAGGAAAGGTATAATGTTATAACGGGAAAAAAAAAATCAGAAAAAATTGTAATGAACCAGATTTATTTTGCAAAAATGCTCAAAATCCTAACAAAGTCACCCCGTTCTACGGTAACCTTTAATCCACTGTAATTAATTGCCTAATTTATCTCATTTATCTGCTGCCATATTTTTTGTGTGTTTCTATGAGTTTTTCAAACAAATAAAGAAATAATGAAAAAAAAAACTAAAATAAAAAGTAACTAGTCACCGGCTAGTTACTAAAGTTAGTTACTAAAAAAACTAAAGAAAATAAATTTTTTATCTTGCAATAATATAAAAAGATTTTGAGTTAAAAAAATTTTAAATGCATATTTATTTTTTTTAAAATTGCGATATTTTGATACTAATCAAGAAAAATTTGATGTAATGCCTCTAAAGTCGGTGCAGTGTGCATAAGCCAGAGATTTTTCTCTTGCATTTTTTTTTTATGATCAAGAAAAAAGCTTTGTCATTATAAGATTTTTACTTGTAAAAATTTTTCATACACTTTAATCCTTTTTGATATTTTCCATAGATAGAAGATTCTTTACAACGCTGACAATAAAGATGAGCATAAACCAATTAAAGACAAATTTGTTAAAAGTTGCCAAATAATTGTTGACATAATAAATGGACAGCCTCAAAACTGGATACCTAACCTCATAAATGGAACCCACCCAATTTTTTTTTTTTATAAAAATTTAAAAAATTATAAATGTCTGCAAATTCAGTATGCTTCGTTAAATTTTAAAAAATATATAACGCGATTGCTTTAAAACATTATAAGAAATTTAATAAAACAACTTGCTTCTTTATTGTTTCTCGAGAAATTTAAAAGTATTCACAAAATACAATTTTTTAATTTGATGTTAACTTATTTTATTCCAAAAAAACTATATTTTTCACTTACACCTCCTGTCTTTGCGCCTGTCATAAATGCCTCCTTTTACTGTTGAGCCTTAAAATCAAACTTTGTTAGATATAATCGTTCTGACATAGGGTCGCCAGACGTCTGGCTTTTGCGGTGGAGAATACTGCGCTAAAACTGTAAAATATAATTTTTTTTACTGTGTTCTCCTTCGCAAAAGCTGGACATCTGGCAACCCCATTCTGACATGATTTGAACCTACTGCAGAGTCTTAAAAGCAAATTTCGTACGATATTTTCCTAATATTCAATGATGAATAGTTCAAATATTCAAAACACATAACTTTTTACCTAAAAAATCTTTATTTTCGATCTTAAAACTGTTCGCTCATTTAATTTAAAAAAAAATTGTTAGTTAAAAAATATATTAGAGTAATTTTTAAATATAAATTGTTTATTATTTTTTTTCATAAAAAACCAGTGAGTTTTTTGATAAAATTTAAACTGAATAATCTTTGACTCGTATCAAATTCAATAGTTAAGAGTAGAAACCACAAATATTCGATGACAATTTGGTATTCTGATTATTCGGCTACTTATTTTACTATTTTTTATTCGTCAAAATATTGCAAAACTATTCGGCCGAATAACCGAATGCCAGAATGCAGAGTGTAACTAAAAAAACGCATAAAAAAAGGTTAGGGGAAGTGGGGGCATAACCGCCCCCGTAACGTTTGGAATAATGTTATATGAAAATAAAAACGAAATGTGTTTTTTTTAGCAGTTTACTTGAATAACCACATCATTAAGCTTTAAATTAATGCATTTAAGAAAAAATTAAACAGGTTTTGAAAATGTTATTACACAAAAACTACACTTGGTGAAAAAAACGGTTTTGCCCCCATTGTGAGGTACAACCGCACCCTCAAAAAAAATCGATGGGGCTACACCTTTCATGGTAAATTTTTTTTACAATTTTCACAGCTCAGATTATTTGATGATTTTGTTGCATGTTTGCATATTGTGCAGGCATTCTTTGTGTTTACATTTTGAGTTCTGCCCCAGAAGAGAGTTCTATCCCAGAAGAGAGTTTTTAGAAAGAATTCAGTTTCATAGATTAATTATTAGATTATGGTATTATCAAAAATGACTTTCACTTCATGAAATAATGCTGATAACACATATTTTTAACACTAAAATTAAATATTGCTTAGTTCTCAAAAAGAAGGTCAGGAAAAATATGATGTAAATATAATATTTTTATCAAAATAAAAATTATTATTCACAACTTCTCAGAAACTTAACAGTCACTCTTTTTGACATATGCAAAATGAAGGAAACTGTTTTACTAACGCGTGATATGTTTTTTGCCATATTAGATAACATTTTTTGAAGAGAAATGTTAAAAAATGGTTGTGCCTCCATATGCGGTTATACCCCCACTTCCCATACATATAACATTTTTTTGTTTGTTTGTTATTTTAACAAATGATAAGGATATTGTTGTTTAATATAATCAATCGTTTCAAATGATTTTTTTAAATGTATAAAAATTTGAGAAACGAGTTTAGTGAGGTGAGTTAATCTTTGAATCGATGGCTGCCCTAGCTTTCAGGGAATTAGCAGATAAAGAACTGTGCATTGCAGTATTACAACAGGGGTAATATTATTAACCAATTGTATATATTATCGTTCATGTTATTGTTAATTAACTCGATATTTATCGTTAATGTTATTGTTTCATTTCGTTTTTTTTAACTAAAAAAGCATTAAGTTTTGAAACATCTTATTTTAAACTTTTTTCTTAATAAATTTCACTTAATTTAACCGCTTAATAAAAAATTTAATGATTATTGATGAATATTTTTGCTAATTTTGATCATGGCAAAAAAAAAGCTTTACCAATACATCTATTTTAAAAAAGATTTGTCGCTTCATTGAATACTAAGAAGTGCACACTTTGGACACCTTCCAACTTGGGGCACCTTACAATTGTCATTTCTTTCTTATAAAAACAATCAGAAGATTTAATCTTTTCAATCATGTTAATAAAAAACATCAAACTGATTTAATCAAAATTTATTTAATGTGTTAGTAGTATTATTAGAGAAAAGAAGGACTTTTCATAACAATCAGTTAGTTAAATATTTTTTAACAGCTTTAAATAAATGCAAATGTCATTTTTTGTATTTTCAATATCTGTACAGAAGTAAAACGCTGTCTGTTACAGAATTAAACTCAGTTATTGTAGCCAAAATATTATCCAGGACGAGGAATAAAAACATTTTACCATTCTGTTGTGTTTCAGATTTTGTTTGTTTTCTTTAAAGATTTTGTTTTCCAAGGGTGTTGTATATGTGGGGATCTTCTACTATTTGCTCGTCGTGCTTGAAGATTTGGTTAACAAACCAAACACTTTTTTTTTTATCCGAAGTTGGATAATCAAAATTTTCGTAGTTATCAAACTCGTCGTACTTCTTTTTATTAAAAATTGTCGGAGTGTTTAACAAAATAGTTTTTCTACGAATACGGTTGCTTTTTTTACTCTGTACCCCTGTGCTCTAAATATATAAAATTTTAAATTAATAATAACCAAGAAAAAGGACATACATTACATAAATTAATCAACATTAAAATATCTTTTTTTTTTTAATTATTGTATTGAACTACAGCTTAACAGTTTTATGTTATTTTATTTTTTGTTTTATTTTCTGCGATTGAGAATATATCATGGATAAAATGTAAAATATGACAATAAGTTGCATTCGAAAGCGTTCGAAAACTCACTATACAGTGCGTCAGTTATATCGTAGTGTTTTATTTTCATATATAGTTCAAGATGACGGATTATTGTCAGTACCGCCAATGTTTTATATTGCTGGACAATAGAACTTGGACTTGCGAAACATATTTTAAAAACAGTTTGTATTAGAACTTGGATTACTGCTGATTAAGCTCTTCAACGTCATCCTCCGACGAACTGAGAAAACAGTTCAGGTTATCTTGACATTTGATAAAACTTTTGCGGATAAGAAAATAATTTGAAATATCAAAAGTTTTAAACTGAAAGATAAAAAAATACATCTTTAACTAAAAACTGCACTTGAGTCACTTAAACTGGTTATATCTTAGCATTATTAACATTATTTACTTTGTCATTAGTATAATAATAACAGTACATTTTTAACGGTTAAGTGTTAACCCAGTATACTTTGTTCTCTTAAAATGTCAAATAAAGCAAACAACATGACGAATGCTAAAAATCTGTATGGGGTCGTCCATAAATTACGTCACGCTTAGGAGGAGGAGGGTAGAGGGGTAGGCAATTTTGTGACGATTTGTTACGAGGGCAAGGGGAGGTCTTGATTTTGTGACGCACCATTTTTTTTTTTTAAGGAAGACTTAATTTTAATTAGAAAAGTATCTGAACAAACCAAAACCCTTAGTTAATGTACCTTGTATATACCCTCAGTTGGTGTATCTACATGTTGTCAACATGTAGATAATCAACATTGTTGATTGTAACTACGCCTAAATCTTACATAGTCGATGTGTACACTCCATTAAAGGAGTAGTTACAGCCTGTTAACGGACTGTTACGGCTGTAGGTGCAGTTCACGTTCTGCATTTTGAATTTATATATTTCAAGTGCAAAACTTAATTAGTCGGTGCGCAATAGTGTGCAGCCTTTAATTAACAATCTTTATGTACTAACTAAAGGAGAAAAAAAATTTAATACCAAGAGGTGAACCCTCGGTCACTTGTCGGAAGCAGTATCCACTAGACCACGCTTACAACATAATGTGATAGAAAATTATATTTATAAAATAATACTTTTGCATGTACAATATATTATTTATTAGAGTAAAAATACCACAAACCGGACAGTGCGTAAAAGCAGATGCTTATCGAAAAAACTAAATATCTTCACTAAAAATAAAGATACTTAAAAAATTTTAAAAAGTTTTATACTTTTACTGAGTGGAAAACTATAAATTTTTTAAAAAAAGATTTTTTTATGATTGCTTTAATAAGATATTTAAGTTCAAACAAAACCTAACCCTAAAAATCTAACTTTTTTTGGAAATTAGGTTCTAAGCATGAAAGATTTAAAAAGGCAATTTAAAAACAAAGGAAACCATTTTGTTGGAAATTTTTTGCTAATTTTAAAAGTAGTTTTAGAATTTCATAATCTTACTCCTTTAAAAAGTTATGACGGTATAAGATTTTGTGGAAAAGTACACGAAGTAACCACAAAAGTGCATCGTTTCAAAATCAAAATTCATTTCAATTTCGAAAATCTGTAACTAAATTGAATTTACTAAACTTAAAAATGGCAAAAAACAAACAAACCAGAAGCCTTACAATGAAGAGACAATAAAAAACGCATTGAATAAGATTGAAAATGGCGAGTTAAGCTTAAGAGACACAGCTCAATTCTACCGCTTACCAAAATCAACTTAATTCCGACTGCAACTCAAACTTCAATTTCAACTTTAAATTTATTTTCTCAAGAAGAATAGGTGACTCGTGTAAAAATCAGTCTTAAAAGAGCTCTCTTAAAGCAATATTTAACTCCGAAACGCTTACAAGTATCCTGCAAATAAAGCCAAAATTGTTAGAACAGTAACTGGTCAACCTTTTACAGAAGAAGCATGGTTAAACAAGTTAAGAGAAGAAAAAGACACGAAGCTATTGAAACAAACATAGGTTGATTTTGCAGTAGCAGAAGTAGAAACTCTCGCCAAGAAATCCAAAAAAAAGTACAAAAAGTGCAAAACGTGCCCAAAGTTTTTCGAAAATGAAAAGCCAGATATGCAAGTTTTATGGAAAACTTGTGAAAAATTAATTTGTAGTTTGTGGCTTTGCGAACCTTGTCTCCCAAAAAAATATATAAAAGGCAAAGAATTCTTTTGCATGACAGGTTGCAGAACCTAATTTATAATTTTTTTTTTTTTATTTCAGGCTCAAACTTGCATATGTTTCAAGCTTGCATATGTTTTTTATTTGTTTTTTTCTAGTTTTTTCTGCTTGTATTAATATTATGTATATATTTTAAAAATAAAAATAAAAATATTGAATTTATCAATATATCTATATTTTTTTATATAACTAGGAACTGTTCGCTTTTAGGGACAATTTTCCGAAAAAAAAAAATGTTTTAAAAAAATATCATCGGGAGTTAACATTGAGCAAACAACAGAGGCTAAGCACCATAGCTTCCACCAACACTGGTAAAAATACGAGAGATCCAAAACACATTAAAAATATGGAAAGCAACTGTAAATGTACGTGGTCAACTTCAAAAGCAAGCACATATAATATCAGTTGCTGATGTAAATGTGCGTGGTCAACTTTAAAAGCACATATAATATCAGTTGCTGATGTAAATGTGCATGGTCAACTTAAAAGCAATCAAATATGATTTTTAAGCTCCGTATGTATCAAAAATCTAAAAAACTCCTTTTTTTATGCTAAAAAAGATTTTGACTCTTCAACAGTAAAAGTGTAAATTTTGAAACTTACCAACATAGTTATAGGTAAGTTGCACGTTCTTAAATTTATCAACATCAAAGCTAAGATCTCCCATAAAATAAATATATTTTTCTTCGATAAAAATCTATTTTTATGATTTATTTAATTAAAAAGTAGTGCGTTATATTTTAAGATTTTCATGAACTAAAATGATTGTAAATAAATTTTTTAGGCTCAGGTTACAAGACCAAACTTCAAGAACTTTTAAAGTATCTGTCTTCAAGAACTTTTAAAGTTTCTCTAACAACCCCCCACCCCTCCCCCAAACTTTCACATTCACAAATCCCACAATCTTTAATTATTATTATTATTTTTTTTAAATTTATAAAAAAAAAAAAAATAAATAAAAAGATAAAAAAATAAACCTTTTACATTTTCGTTATTTTCTCTCCATTTCTTTTTTCGTCGTAAAATTAGAACGACTATAAACACAATAATTAAAAAAAAAGATGCCAGTAAAACACCAATGAGTATATAGGTTTTAGTTTTACTCCAATTGTTATGTTGTGCACTTAGTTGCATTGAGATTGGTGTCAAAAACATTTCCGGTGTTTTTGCAAATTCTACCGCAGTTGTATCAATACGAGAAGATAACCCAGCCTCGGTGGTTTGTCTTGTATGTACTACAACTAATGACGATGTTGTTTCTTTCCACAAAGTCATTTGTGTAAAGTTTATAAAATATGTCACTAGAGGTGTTGTGGATATATCCAAAAATGCTGCAGATGTATTATTCAATGTTAACGTTGTGTAGGTAGGTGTACTTACAAATGTTGTTGCTGTGTACGTAGGTTTACTTTCAAGTGTTGTTGCTGTGTACGTAGGCTTATTAAAATTATCAATCAAAGGATCTAAAATATTTATATATAGTAGATAAGAATTTTATTTTTTTACTTGTTAAGATTAAACTTTTAATGCATGTATAGCAATTATTTCAGTATATTAAAAATGTTTTCATCTAAATATTATTTGCTGCTTTAACTTTGTCATCTTTTTAGTACTACAGTATTAGTTTTTTTCTTATTTTACCCTCAACGTTTTTTTGAATTGTATAAAAGTATACAGTTTAAGTTTTATTAAAACATTCTATATATATATATATATATATATATATATATATATATATATATATATATATATATATATATATATATATATATATATATATATATATATATATATATATGCATACAAAACTTAGAATTTTTCAAGTAACAGACTTCAAATAGTAGATTTTATTAGACTTCAAAGAGATGTTTTTTTCAAAAAAATTTAACTGATTCAAGTATTGTTTCCCATGTATTAGAATTAAAAAAAAAGTTTGTGGCCTCCTCAAATTGAGAGGGGGTGGGGGATTATTCTTTACATGGTCATAACAACTGAAACCTGAATAATTTAAGTACAAAAATTGAAAATAAATTACACACACATACACACACACACACACACAATTCTTGTAAATTGGCATATTTCTCCTAGTATAACCGACTCACAAAGAAAATGAAGACTGCAGTCTCTGTATTATGCGCCTATAATATATGTATTGAAAAACAATTCAATAGAAAAAAATTAGAGCTTCGTTTAAATCCTCAATAATGGAGTTCACTTTCTCAACCAACCATGTTAGTAATGTAAAGAATTTCAAAGTTGCATAAGATTCAATAAAGATAAACACTGTTTACAATACTTTTAACCGTTATTGTTATTATTATATTTTGTTAAAAATATACATGTCAGAGTAAATGTGTTAAATTTCTCAACTAAAATGTGCTGAACTCAAAAAAAAAAAAAATTGTCATATCATATAAACTAGTTAAACAGCGAAGTTAAAATTTTTTTGATGTCCTCTTTTTAAACTTTTATATCTCAATTTCTTCAAATACCTTAGTTATTGATTATCCTATGTACCTCATAAAAATGTTTTTCGTATTTCTACTTAAGCTATAAATTAATATATTACGGAATAAAATACTACGAAAATAAGCATAAGTAATAAAAATCTTTTATATACATTCTTCTAAAGTTTTTTTTGTTTAAATTGTTTCATCTTAAAACTTAAAAGTGTGGAAGCAAAACAAAATAACTTTAATCCTACAATATACTAAAAAAAGTATCACGTATTAGGTTAGAGTATTTTTATATTATGTTAAATATTATGTTAAAGCATGATATATATTATGTTAAAGTATGTTAGATATGTTAAATTATGTTACATATTATGTTAAATTATGTTACATATTATGTTAAAGTATGTTACATATTATGTTAAAGTATGTTATATATTATATTAAAGTATGTTACATATTAAGTTAAATTATGTTTCATACTATGTTAAATTATGTAACATATGTTAAATTATGTTACATATTATGTTAAAATATGTTAAGTATTATGTTAAAGTATGTTACATATTATGTTAAAATTATGTTAAATATTATGTTAAATTATGTTAAATATTATGTTAAAGTATGTTACACATTATGTAAAAGTATGTTACATATTATGTTAAATTAATATGTTATAAATTTTTTTCCATGAGCAATTAAGTTGCCAGAAAATTTAATTGTTTCAATATAATTACGTGCAGAATAAGTTTAAAGTTTAACTTAAAAATTAAAAGTTTGCTGTTGAAGAAGACGAAACAAGAATAAAAGATTATGTGGTTAAAGTAAAAAAAAGGAAAAATCGAAAATAATATTTATTAAAACGAAGTACCAATCACCGTAAAAAACCTTTTAGACAAGAAAGAACAGTAGCATATAGCTGAACACCAATTCAGCAACATAGAGAAAAAAACAAGATCATAGCATATCAAAACTTTTAAAATAATCTGCCATGGAAATTAGGATTTTTAGGTACATAATTGCGACTCTATAAATATAAATATTTTGAGTATATATTAAAGCAAATTTACTAAGTTAACCCAGCCGTAATTTACTATATATGTATTTATTACTGTTCAAAATATTGTTTTACTGCTTACAGAAGTAGCAGGAAAAATAAATTCTGATTTAAAAAACCTCTATCTTAGTTGAATAAAGACTAGAAACGGATTTTAGTGTTTATTGGAGAAGCAACATTAGGAGTTCTTTGTTATAACTTTCTGGGGTAATTGAGGCAACTGCATAGTTGATTGCTCAAGGTGCTGGGCAGTATTTTTGAATAAGTCAAGTTCTCTAATAACTCAAAACATGACTGATTTACATAAAAATATTAAACATAATTTACCATTACCTCTATTTAATTTACCACCACTCCCATTTTATTGTTCCAACAAAATTTTGTTAGAACAAAATCGCGTCCTTAAACTGTATCAGTCATTTTAGGCTCTAAAGTTTTTTACTCGTCTAGTTTCTTTCCTCAAACATCGCATCACCAAATGGTGGAGTTTTTCCAGAAGAATTTTAGTCTCAAATTAAAAATGGTTTACCTTTCTGGAGAAACATTTTCTTAAAAAATACAATGTAAAATTTTAGAACTTTCTTTTACCAAAAATCTCTTCAAAAGTGTTTAATTTAGATGAAGCTCAAGGACTACTATACGGAAGGGCGCGCAAAGTTGATTTCCTGACTCCGCTAGCGAAGGCCAGTCAATATTTCTCACTTAAACCCTAAATAACTTAAGTTGGCTTAAACAACGTTTCATAAAATCAAAATTCTGAAATACGATTTAAATAATTTTACGTTATTGTTAATAACAAAATCAAAACTTATTTTAAAAAGCTTAAAAGATCGATGTAAAAAACCTCTATAAAAAAACAAAGAACATATTATTGACACAATTTATTTATAAAGAAATAAACATACAAACATCATATTCTCTAGAGACTTTTAAACAATGTTAAATTTTTTTTTTTTTTAACATAATGAACTTAATATAACTTTGTAAAGAAATAAACAATACAATATTTTTTAAGTAAAAAATCTAAAAAGAAAGATTCACTACTCAGCAAGGCGTGCCTTCTTAATTGATGTCTGATAAAGACATGCATTTTTTGCTTGGTCTTTATCCGAATTCTGAATTCCATGCAGAAGAACATTTGCCAAACGTCTAAAAAGACTCTTTGATGATAAACCAAAATCATAATATGTGTCCATTATAGATAGAATGTTTATTAAGTCTTTTTCTACAACATGCTCTGTGCTTTGTTTTTTTCACAAAGCATAAACCAATTCTAACTAGCTGATAAGTACACTCATGTAGAACTGTCAAATAGCCCCTTAAAACTTCTTCAATAAAGTCTTTAGCTTCATTTCTTAGTTCAGGTTCATCATCTGGATAAACTAGTTCATTTTCACATTTTTTCTTAAGCCATCCTGCTACATAGGCAGCAGAGCTCTCTTCATTTTCAGAAAGACTCACATTATAAATGCATGTTTTAATTGAGTTTGCACCTTCAATACTAATTGGACCCTTACATATGTGACCTTTTTTATTGGGTTGTCCTACTTCCACTGATTCTAAAAATGATGCAGCAAATCTAGGTAAACGCTTTTTAAAAGCAGAGAAAACATCATCAGCTGCCATAAAAGCATTTGCCCCTGTTGATTGTCTATAAACAGAAAATTCTCCTTCTATTCTATCACTTTGTAGCTCACGAAGCAAAACATAATCAAAACCAACTGAAAACAAATGTTTGCAGAGAGCTATCAATCCTTTAGTAGTTTGCACTAGGGTTTTTTTGGTATCATGGGTAACGCACTGAACTCGTTTAGGCCCATGTCCTAATTCCATACATTTAAATATGTCTAAAAACAATTGAAGATTATTTGAATTTTTATCTTGCACAGATCGGTTGTGATCTCTCAACCTAACATCCTGCCCTTTTGCAGAAACATTAACAATATTCCACCAATCTAAAATCTGCTGGATAAAAGAGAATGTTTCATAAGCTCCTTTTAGTTTAAGGGAAGCTACTACTTTCTCATTAAACACTCTTAAAACATGCTGCACGTTCTGTAGTTGAAATCTCAAAGGATAGACAGCAGCATAGGATAAAGGAACTGTTTTTAAAATGTTCTCTTTCTCATATTGATATAGACTTTTCACATCTCAAAATGAAGCTATGGTTTTATTATCGAGAGATAGCTTTTGACACTTTTCAGAAATCCAGTTATTGCGAATACATTTAAATAGATAAACTGTGTCAAATAAAAGAGACCAAACACGCTGATTGTCTAATGGATGAGTGCCCTGATAGTCAGTTATTCTGTTAAAAATTTTGCAGTATTGCTGATTGATTTTATGATTATCAGTTACAGATCCTAAAACTATTGCACCATGTTTTTCAACTATAATAGCAGCTTCTTTCACAACAATGAACTGATACAATGATGTTAGTTTGTGAACAGGGGTAACAGAAATCATTAAACTAGGTCCACCATGTAAGCATTTCATCATGACACATAGCATAGAGGTTGCTTTAGATTCTGGATCATTTCTTGCCATCCCATTTAAAACTCCACACAAATAAGCAACGCTTGGCCTAATTTTTACCTCGTCAACTATCAAAATAACATTTTTCTGTTGATTATTCTTTACGTTTTTAAATGTTTTTTGTAAAAAATGGTCAATGTTAGTGGCAGAAATTGTATACTGACGCTTTCGTTTACTTGGAAGGACTAAAAAATCACTAAGTTGATTGTAGTTGCAGTTATAAAAAGACTCGATTGCAAAGCAATAATCAGCTATAAAGAAACTTTTTTTAGACAAGAGTTTGAGTTGTCTCGTAATAAAATTCAATTTTTTTTGTTTCTTATCATTATTTAATTCAAATTCATTTTTTGAAAGAGTATTTATCATCTTTTCAATAACATCATTAACATCCAGATTATAATTATGAACTAAATTGATTGCTTCAAAAAATTGTGAATAGAAGATTATGCCATTGTTTGGATTCAATATATTAGCTAATGGAACGGAAATTCCATGTTTAAAAGCTGAAAAGGTTAGCGGTGAACACAAGGTACACTTATCATAAACAATAATCGTCACAAAACTCTCTTTGAAATCTTTTGACATAAAAATGCATATGAATTTATCGTCTTGTCGAGATATTACTATATTTTTATACTTTTTGTGCAACTCATTGTTAAGATAAAAATCAGAAAACGAGTTTATTCTATCTTTTTTGATGAAATAATTCAATTGCATGTCCTCAGGTTTAGATTGGCGAGGCACAGGCTTTAGCGTTGGTAAACAAGAAAAAGGAACATTAAAAATACAAGGTGCACATGCTAGTCAAGTATAGCCACCAGACAGCTTAATTATTTCTGTATTTTCAGGCCAATGTTTTCCACATATAAAAAATTTAGATGGCTCAATAATAAAATTTTTACGTAAAGGAAGAACATTAACCCATTTCTGTTTCTCAATTTCATTTTTCGGTAATTTAAAAATACGACACTTATTAAGTTTATTATAATTACCTTTACAATTTACAACGCCACATTTGTTCACCATGATTATGGTTAAAATTAAAAAAAAATGTTACAGGAACGTTAAAGAACACTTCAACTTTGATAAAAAATAATGGCCTTCGCTAGCGGAGTCAGGAAATTGACTTTGCGCGTCCTTCCGTATAGTAGTCCTTGATGAAGCTTTAATTGGCATGAAATTTTATTGGCATGAGTATTTTGAATGCTAAAAATACTTTACCTTAAAAAATGTAAAAAATGTTTATTGATTAAAAACGTTTATGGTTTCTTACACAAAAGTACAATTAACGGTTTATAGTTGCGTAGAAAATGCCAAAAATATTTTGCTTTGATTTCAAGTAGTACCGGATTACTGCAACTTGAAAACCTATTTGACTTTTATTTAATTTAATCAGTTTTCATTTTCATGATTGCCTAATGATTTTCAAGTATGGTTTAAAAAAACTAGTTTAAACGCGGCTGGAATGCAGCCATTCTAAAATTGGTTGTAAATCAACCACTTTGAAAATAACTAAAATAAAAAAAAGTCAGTTTAAAAAATATAGTAATAATACATAAACAGTTTACGGTTTCCTAAAACCTCGTAAAACTTTATTATTTAAGACAAAATATATTTGTTGAACCTGGTTTCAAAACCTTGCCTAGCTGTTGTCTGCTAAAGATTGTTCATCAATATTAACGCATCAGTACCATAACATAAAAAAAAACATCGTTAGAAGAACTATCCAAAACAGCTCAGCGGTATTCAATATGAGAAAAAAAAAGTAGTTAAATTAGAAAGACTTTTTTGTAGTAATTTATGACTTAAAATATATTATGTCGAGAAAATTGCTAATCAAGTTTTTTTTAACTTAAATCTAAATCCGAAACCCGATATATTTTTATATCATCAGTAAAAATAATGTGTCAGCGGAAAACGTAGCAAGCGTTTTGAAAACATTGAGTCATTGCAAAACTATCAATTTTTTTTTTTTTTTTTTTTTTTTTTTATTTCTTAATTATTTTGTTGACTTGTTTTATAAAACGCCATCTTGTTCCGTAAGCTATTTTGCTTCGCTTTCTCCTACATGATGTATAAGTTAAACGATTGTTTGAACGAAAGTAAGCATGATACTTTTTGTAGCAATCAAACTTATTCAAAAATATTTTGAGGAATTTTAATACATTAAAGTCACTGAAGAAGAGATAATAGTACTTAGAGACAAAAACATTAAACGTTTTACAGATGATAATTTTGAAGTAAATTTGATTTATAGTTTTTAAAGAAAAGATGAGTTAAAAACAAGGTAGAAAGTTGACATCAAACCCACGTTACTCAAAATACAAAATATTAATTTTTATAATTTTTTTAAAGAAGGCCTAATGGGTTTGTCGCATAGCAACGCGGAAGAGCATTTTACGTTTTACGCCTCCTTCCTTAGCAATCACGCAAAATATGCCCAAAGCTAATTTCGGACCCTGGGTGCTTCTAAAGCAAGCGCTCTAACCACTGAAGCCGCTTATATAATCACTTACACTTCAAATAAACACTTACATTTCAAATATCCAGCAAACTTAAAGTAAACACATAATCTATCATTATCTTGAGCAATGCTACCTTCGTCGTTTATGCATTGAAACTGTATTTTTAAAAAAACACCTGCAGACCAACCAGAAAATATTAAAGAAATCTAAAGATAAAAAAGTTATTAGTAATTTACTTGTTAAGTTTAACTGATTATGCTGAAATATTTTCTTTATTTTTATTTATTTTCATTTATTAAAATTAATTTATTAAAAAACTAGAAAGAATAACGAAAAAACGCAATTCGTTAAATAAAGAAAAGCTGAACTAAGTTGCTTTTTATTTATTCTTTAATAAAAGTTGGAAGGAAACAATAGTAATAACTCATTAAATACAACTACATATTTAATAAAAAGTTAATTAATTACAAATAATTATATAATTAATAATTTATAAAATAAATAACTAGTTTTGAAAAATTATGAAAAAATTTTATTGAAATCACTTGTTTTGAATTTTTGACATCTTAAAAATAATATTTGTTGTTAGTTTTCTCAAAACACTGTTAAATTTAAAAAAATGATTTAAAAACCAAATTTTGATCGCGTAATTTGTAATCCTTAAACTTTTCACTAAAAATAGTTTTTTTTTTTTTTCTTTTTTTTTTTTTTTAATAAAAAATTAGTTTGGTTTTTGAAATGGCAATAATTTTTTGGTTTTTGGGCACGCAATAATATAAATTGTAGAACAAAAAAAGGATTAAAAAAAAATGACTCACTATCGGATTTTTTATTTGCCTAATAAAAGCATTTGATACAAATGATCACCCCTTTCAAAAGCTAGTTTATTTTGGACTTCCCACCTAAATTATATTCAATAAAAAATTAGTAAAACAATTGGTGTGGTGAATTGTATTTGTCTATTTGAAACTGTTAATATATTTCGTTAATATATTTTATAACTGCTAATATATTAAATAATTATAAAGTTTGTTAATTTATATTCTTTAAGAGATTTGATTGGAATTATTAGCCGCAAATATGCAGCAGTTGAGAAAAAATAAGCAAAATGGTTGGACTCTCTACTCCAAGAATAGTTAAGAGTAGAATACCCTACTCTTGATAAGTCAACTTTAGAATTTGATGAGTCTTTTTCCGAGTAAGCACCGGACCAAAAAAAGACGTCTTTTGAACAATGTTCAAAAGACGTCTAAAACGTGTATAAGACGTTTAAAAGACGTCTTTATTACGTTCGTGCCCACTGAGTTTGAGATTTGAGTACAGAAAAATTGCTGAAACGGATCAATAGTCAGCTAGCCAACTAATATTTGCAACTGTCAAATTTGGAAAAAATAATCAGGTTAAAAAAGCTAAAATAGAAAAACAATATTGAAAGATATCAATATTGTTTTTTCTTTGAAACATCTTATATGTTTATAGGTGACACTTTGACACACCTTATATGTCTACAGGTGACGCTTTGACACATATTTTGGATTCCAAATATATACATTTTTAATTAAACTCTCTAATTTAGTTAAATCAAAAACTTCTAACATACATTTATTATTTGCTACTTCACATTATGAAAGAACCTGGGTTATAAAAAAAAACTGAAAAATTAATTTTTTTAATAATTTGCAGTAAATAATTCATTTAATTTGCATAAAAATTGACGGTCACCTTAAAAAGTTTTATGCTATCACAATAAGGTACTTATAGCAGGCAAACAAAATTAATATCTAAATATGAAACTCAAATATCATATTGGTAATAACACTAAATTTAATGTATTACCAATAAAACAGACAATAAATCTGCAGCTGCCAAAATTAAGTTAATTCTATGCAAAAAATAGGTACTTATAGCAACCAAATAAAAAAATAACACCTTTATAGGAAATACAATCTTTTCACTGGCATTCGAGCGAAATTTAGTTTGAAAAGCACACATAACTAATCTGCAACTACAAAAAGTAGGTTGTTGCTATGTAAAAAATGATATCCTTTGCAACAAATAAAAACACCATCACCATGGTGTTGGTGTTTTTGGTGATTATGATGCACCATAAGAAGCTCTTTATATCAATTTTTACTTTATATAATACTCATGTTAAATTTAGTGAATATAGCGCTAATATTAAATTAGCTAATAATTTTGTCTCAAAATTTGCCATTCTGGCCCACTTTGCACCGGTTCGTCTAACATGACCGACACATTGCAAGCTTGCAGATTACAAAATACATTGTTTCCAAATATTACTTTGCCTAGTAATCAATCAAAAAAGACTGAAAAAATAATTTTTCTACAAAAGCGTGCATTTGAACTTATATATTGGGGAAGAAAAAGTACATAACCTTTTACAAAAGACAAATCATAATAGTTATCTTACTTTTAAAGAAATAATTAAATCATTGATTTAATTCAACACTATAAATTTCATTTTTATGAAATTTTACGAGCTTTTATGCATAAAAATTTCTGACAGAAAAATTTATACCCAATCTTTATCTTTGTAGCGGAGATCAAACGAAAATCTGAAGAAACAAGTTTTTTTTTCGATTACTTTTTACTTTCGATTCTGAATTTTAATCTTTTTATTTTTAATCTTTAATTTTTTAAGATAGTAAATGGTGGTAAAATTGACTTTTTTTTTTTTTACAAATTATTTTAAAAAAAATCATTAATTTATTTTAAATTATTGTAATAATTTCAAATTGAATGATTTTTATACTAGAAGTATAGAAATTTAAATAATGTTTCAAATAAAATATAAATTGTTTGAACTTTTTATAGGAAAAACCCAAGTATTTTTTGTTTGTTTGTCTGATAGAATATTTTGAATGCCGCTTTGTCCTATAAATATAGTTTTTTATTTTTGGTGTCTCTAGTTGGCAAAAAATACACACAACACCCCCCCTACCCCATGAAAGACCTTTTCGCGACAGCCCTGCATATCATCAATAGATAAAATAATATTTTTTAAGTTAATATTTAAAGATCAGAAAGGTATTGGATATTTCAAATTTAGGTATAACAATTTTATTCCAAAAACATGATGTTTGAAATGTAACACAAAATTTGTTAAACTTTGTTCTTCAAATTGTCTCTTATAAATTTTTTTTATTTCTAAGTAAATATTTATTAATTGGGTTTAGAGATAAAAGATTTTTAAAAGATAGTTAAAGTTAAATCGTTTTTCCACATGTAAATAAAGCATATAGTGTTATAAGCATTGAGCTTGTTAATATTAAGTATTTTATATTTTCATAAATAATAGTTTGGATGAGTAAAACAATCCACCAACTTAATCAAGCGGATCACATGCTTCTAACGGCGATAAAGGCGTTGTAACTTACTTTTTTAATGTTTTCTTGAGCTATGTCGGTGTAATTAATATAGGTGTGAATAAAAGAGTAATAAATTTGCGTTAAGACTTTTATGTTTAAATATAATCTGGAGTTATTGAAGACTCTAGATTATTGTTACTTTTAGATACTTTTGAGCAAATAAAAATTTAGTAGTAAAATCTGTTTTTATTTTGACTTCATCAATGAATATTTTGGGCAAATTTTGGGGTAAATAGCGTTTTTAGAGAACTAATAAAAAAGAATCCATTTGGTTTTATTAATGTTAAGAGTCAGTTTATTACCTTTGAAACAAGTAGATATGTTTTTAAGTTCATCATTTATTGTAGAAAAGAGTATTGGTATGTCATTATTTGTCAGGAACAAGTTGGTGTTGCCGGCAAACATGATACTTATTACCATTGAGGCTTTACTTAATTTAAATTTATCTAATTTAATTAGATTAAAAACAAAAGTGGCCCTCATGCTTTCACAAGAATCTGGTAAAACTCATAAGATTTTCACTTTGTGAAATTCCCAGGAATCTTGTGAAACACCACAAAAATTATTTAGAAGATGGCTTTGGCTATAGTTATTATTAAAAACAAATTGTTTGCAGTTTGATAAGTAACTTTGAAGTCATTGATAGTTATATAATTTATTACGTAGTATTTCAGTTTATCGAGCAGGATTTCATGGTTGGCAGTATCGAAAGCCTTAGACAAGTCAATAAAAATATCTCATGTAACTTGGGTTCTTCGAAAAGAATTTGAGATTTTTTGTACAAACTCGATGATTGCATGTTCTTTAGAATTTTTTTTTTTAAAACTTAATTAATTATTGTATAAAGGATTATTGGAAACAAAATAATTGTCCACTTTATTGTACTTAATACGTCCTTTGATTTTTGAATAGTGAAAAGGATAGATATAGAGCGGATATAGGATTAAACATTATTAACATTGGAAAGCTAACCTAATTTTAGACAGCTTTTTTTGAAGTTTTGTACATTTTTTTTAAAAAAAAGCAGAGTAATTATTCATTTCAAAAAGATCGAGGAACATTTTTTATATATTTTTCAATAGAAAATTCAATATTGCCAAGCAAACTATTGGTGCCGTACGTTTTGTGAATAATTGTGTCGAATAAAATGATCAAAGATCATTGACGCATAACGTATTTTAAATTTCAACGAATTTTCTTATTTAAATACATTATTTTAAATACTATACATAATTTTGACTTATTTATTTAAATATACATGTATTGATTCTAACAACAATAACTAATGTAATGAAACTGATATTTAAAAATTTTTTTTAAAAAAGTTTAATGTAAATGTTTTAAGTTTTATGTACGAGTACGAGAATGTAAATGTTCTGTATTTTATGTACGAGTACGAAAACGTAAATGTTTTAAGTTTATGTACGAGTAAGAGAATGTAAATGTTCTATGTTTTATGTACGAGTACGAGAATGTAAATGTTCTAAGTTTTATGTACGAGTACGAGAATGTAAATGTTCTAAGTTTTATGTACGAGTACGAGAATGTTAATGTTCGAAGTTTTATGTAAAAGTACGAGAATGTAAATGTTCTTAGTTTTATATACAGGTAGCAAATAAACTTTGACAATTATTAAACTATAAGTATGCAGTCTTAGATATCAAGACCCATTATCTGAGATATCAAGACCCATTATCTGAGATATCAAGACCCCTTATCTGAGATATCAAGTCCCAGTACCTGAGATATCAAGACCCATTTTCTTAGATATCAAGACTCATTATCTCAGAAATCTAGGCAGTCTAAAGAAATCATTA